AATCAATTCTGTATACCTAATGCCACGTAATAATTACGATTGTGGCAAAATTTTATTGGATTTTTCCCAAAAGGGAAAGCTCAGGCCGAAAGCAATAAATGCTTCGATCTCGCCGTCCTCCTTCTTACTTCCAAAAAGTTCTTAGAGTTCTTAGAGTCATAATCTCGCTTCGTAAAATCGCCGTGCTAACCGTTTAGTGAAATCGCTATAAACCGAATCTTTCGAGAAGTGCCGAGAAAAATCGCCGAGATTTTCCATCACCGCGATTCCAAACTCAATTTGGAAAAGGTGACCGCATTTAATATTCTGTTAATCTGATCGTTAATTAATTATATCTTTTGACTTTGTAACTGAATATATTAAAGAAATTCTTTTGTTAAATTACAAAGAAACTGAGTTGATTTTTCTGTCGTGCATCATACCAGCCGTGCGCCGAACTCTCACTCGAATTTTTCCGCGCGGTGCGCTCTCGCACATATTTGTTTCTCTAGAATAAGTTTACTGCGAATTCCAAAAGACAAGATTCAAATATGTCAATTTTATTATGAGAATAATTAATTTTCAAAACAATCTCTTTATTGATTTGGTCATTACAACTAATTTTCACAATTAAAGAGTTAACAACTTTTCTATGCAAAATTTTAACTGAGATTAAAATATAATGAGAAGCCTGAAGGGTAAAGACTTTACATCAAGCATGAATTGAGAACAGGAAATTTTACAAGTACAAACGCCGAAAGCGAGATAATATAACTCTCTAAGTCCTGATATTGTCACATCGGACTTAGTCGCGAGAATTCAAGATCGCGCGTGGAACTTAGCATTTTTTCAGTTGTCATTAATCCGCAAGCGGCGCGAATTATTCTGAGTTCTTTCCAAAAATTTAGCTACCTCATAAGGAATAAATATCACAAACTATAGATCCTATCGAGTCGGAATATAATATGAAAATGAGCAACCTGAGGTCTTCGCTCTGTTTATATGTATACTATTGTCGTGGTAGCGTCTCGCAGCAAAAGGGACGATCTCGAGTATCATTCGGATTTTCATACATCTTTTATGCCATCTTCTAAGTGATCCAAGCGCAAGATTTTGATAAGCGATATCCGTCTCAGCCGGCATTGGTTGCTGAGATAGCGTTAAATGAACAGTCCAATACGCATCAATATCGTACTAACTATTATAATAAGAGCTTTTTACAATAATAATGTTGATTGAATTTCTTTGAAGAATAACCAATAAGAAGATATCAAATTTATTATGAAATAGACAATAAAAACTTTTTTTCTTCTTCTCTCTCCTTCTTTAATTATTATATTGGAAATAGACATGTAATATTTATAATTTTTAGAAAATAATGCGGTTCCACGAAATGTAATAATGCTGCTGTCTGCAATATTTACTGCCTTGGACTTCTCAGAAATCATATCCTAATATCAGAAGAAGTTACAATGAAGAGAAAAATGGAAAAGATGTTAAAAGAAATGTATGAAAATTGCTATGAAATCGAAGAAGAAGTATCGTTGAATTTTTTAAACTTATATGTACCAGAAACACAAGAAGTAGAACTCGTAGATGAAGAAGAAAATTACGCATACAATGTAAAAGAAATAGTTTATGACATCGACGATATAAGGTGTAGTAACAAGATATCCATTATTTTTGCATGAAATTGAAGGCTTTATTTAGTAGTTACAATAATCCGATTTAGGTCAAATATGCACCGTTTTGTTCGATAACTTGTTGCCATTTTGAAGGTAATTCCATTATGCCTCTCTTATAGTAACCCTCGTCCCTATTGGCAAAAAACTGGGACAGTCGATTTTCACAAACTTCTCTTGAGGCGAATTTTTCACCAGCAAAATCATTCGCCATAGACAGGAACAGGTGGTAATCACTTGGAGCCAGGTCCGGACTATAAGGTGGATGCATAAGAATCTCCCAACCAAGCTCCCGGAGCTTCTGGCAGAGTCACTATGTGTGTGACCTTGCGTTGTCCTAATGGAACACAATTCCTCTCCTATTGGCCAACGCTGGCCGCTTCTGGGCGATTGCTTCCTTCAGACGGTCCAATTGTTGACAGTACAGGTCCGAATTAAGAGTTTGGCCGGTTAGGGGAGCAGCTCATAGTAGATGATTCTCTGCCAATCCCACCAAACTATTGGGTGGTGTCCGCCAATTCTGGCTTGGCCACCGTTTGCGCCGGCTCATCGCGATTCGACCACGACCGTTTTCGCTTGACGTTGTCATAAGTGACCCACTTTTCATCACCAGTCACCATCCGCTTCAGAAATGGATTGATTTTGTTGCGATTCAGCAGCGATTCGCAGATGGAAATTCGGTCCATGAGGTTTTTTTGCGTTAACTCATGTGGCACTCATACATCGAGCTTCTTTTTGTATCCAGTTTTATTCAAATGGTTCCAAACGATTTTTTGTGCAATGTTTTAGCTCCTGGGCAATCGAAACAGTGCTTACATGATGGTCGGACTCGACGATTTCCATTATTTTATCGACATTTTCGACAATTGGCCTTCCAGAGCGTGGTGCATCTTTGACATCAAAATTATCGGAACGGAATCGACGAAACCAAAATTGCGCGTGATTGGCTGTTACAGTATCAGGACCATAAACATTATTCACATTTTCAGCCGCCTGGCTTGCGTTTTCGCCTTTATCGAAGAAAAACTATAAAATATGGCGTATTTTCTCTTTGCTGTCCATCTTTGACGCGCGCTCAAACAATACTGAGTCAAGCAATCACAAAACTGTCTCAGAAGTTTTTTTAGTACGAAATCTTATCTTTCTAACGCCATCTAGCGTAATCCGATCGCACTTATACAACGCGAGATTACTAAAGCCATCTATTGGAAAAATAATAGATTTCTTTTTACTATACCTTATATTTTATCAGAATATAAAAGAGGGTCAGTTGGATATTGGAAAAGTTGAATATTAGCAAGTTAAATCCAAGAACAATTGAATCTGTAAAATCAACGTTTCAGAAAGTAATATTGGCAGAGCAATTGCGACAACATGGGAAAACAAATGAATGTAGATGGTAGTAGATTTAAAAAGTTGGAATGATTTTAGCATATATGTTAGATTTTATTGAAACGATTCGCAGAAGGGTAACGATCCATGATATTGATATTACGCGATAGATTTTGCAAGCGCAACAATAAGAAAACTTATTAGATTTTAAAGCATTACGAATGAGTTAGAAGATTTAAGCTCGCGCATCAAATTGTATCTAGAAAAGTTACGAAATTTAAAACTAAAAAAGCTTTAATGTCAAAGGAAGCTTTACAAGCAGACAGTAATAGGTTTATTGAAAATGTCAAACATTATATTGACCGCTATGGAATTAAAAATGTATATAATTAAAAATGGTTTTCAATTAGAATTACATGCTCCATTGGCTAGTACATTGGCAGAAAAAGGTGTAAAAAAAGTAGAGAGTGTAGTATAGTCAACATTTGCGATTGCACAGTTATACAATACAGCCTATTATTTCTCTTTCAGCGATGGTAGATTATTATTTCCACTTCTTATAGTGTTAAAAGAATCTAGTGAGACATTAGGTCCTAGGGTACAAGAAACGATATTTACTGCAAATAATATTTTTATTACGGAGTCAAAATCTGGTAAACTAACATCACTCTAATTATTTCTTATTTTAAAATTTGGGAAGAAAAGTATATTTTTCAAATGTTGGATCAAATTCAGTTTTACTGTTAGATTCGTGGACTAGTCATTGTCCGAATATATATATATGTGTGTATATATATATATATATACATATATATATATGATACCCTATGTATATATACAGGATGTGTGTATATGCATATATACCAGGGACCCGGGCCGAAAGGTTTTTTCGATTCGATTTCGGATTCGGTTTAATAAAATATCAATAAATATTCTGGTTTCAGTTTCGATTTTTTTTACCAGTAAAGAAAGAAGAGGAAGAGGGGGGGAGAGAGAGAGAGAGAGAGAGAGAGCGTGTTCACCCGGTCAATCTCGAGAGCC